GTAAACAGAGAACAAGGAAACTTGTTTAAGGTTTTGCCCCACTCGTGAAGCGTACCCAGGTCCTCTCGCTTGCGAGGAGGAGAGTGCTCTAACCACTATGTTATAAGAAAGTAATTTGCACCTGTCAAGCTTGACAAAACTATTTTAATTCACAGGATTGAAAACATTCAACACTGCAATTTTCCTTTACTTTAAGTAAAGTTGCCTTTACTGACTTCTTAGTTTGAGTCGTGTTCCAGTTTCTCAGCTTCTAATCCATTATTTGCAGTTCATCCAGTCAATGATCACACTGGAATCAAGGGGAAACTATCTTGTGTTCAGACTGTTTTAAGGTCTTGCTCCCTGTATTTTAAGTTGTTATTGTGGTGAGGCAGTGTTGACGTTTGTCCATTTTGACCTGTTAACTGATCTCATATTTTCACATACCAGATTCAGTTTTAATTGCTCTGCAAACCTACAGGGTTCACAAAGTCCTGTTACACCCAACCCACATTTCTTTTTCTTACAATCAATTTTTATTTTCTGTTGCAGTCACGTCAAGTGTAACATTGTCTGATACCAGTAACTTCCTCCTGACTCCATCGATGTTGCGGAAGTTGTGGCACCAAACATGATGACGGATCATTACATGCCATGAAAATGATGGTGCGCACACACACATGCACAGAAAGCATGGGAGTAACAGGACTTTGTGAACACTCTGAGTGTGTTTTACAATAACGACCACACCGCCTTTGGCTTGTTGGGAATTAGAACTTATCCACCAAGACAGTACTTCACCAGATCTCCACAACACCTGGATTATTACATACCTGCTTTGGGTTTGTCTCCCCAGAGGTAAATTATCCCCATTTAGACCTTGCTTACCTCCTGCACCTAACCAAGCTGCAAAGGGGTAAAGTTGACCCAAGCAATTCAGATGTTTGCAAGTCAAATACTCAAGCAATTGAGGATGAAATAAGGCTGAACAAATGAGTGAGGTTGTTTTCATTACAGTAAAATATTAATATAGATTGGCACATCATGTTATTCCCCAGATGTCACAGTTCATAACTCAGCTTATATGTACTCATGAGATAATAATTCCTGGGCACATTGTTGAATGAGTCAACATCATTAACCTGCTCCCACACAATCTAAGTGTGACAGCTCTGGTTCAAATATTTGCGTGAAATACTTGGCTCATAAATGTCAATTCCGTACAACTGACCTGGTATCTTGACAAAAGCAATTGACAAGTGGAACTGTACAATGATATCGAATGAAATGAACCACCTCCATCATTTCCAAATATAGCAGTTCCATACACCAGGTGTCTGACATATGCGGAAACCCATCACCATACTTAAGAGAATCCAAACCAAACTGAGAATTTAATGCAGCCTACTGCACATGGAAATTGCAGAGATAGTTTGCAGGAATAACAATCCCCCAAATGAAATTGGTCACTCGCTCCATGGCTGTTCGTGAGATATTGCTGTGCGCAACTGGCTGCTGCGTTTCACCCACAAAATACACAACAACAACAAGATTACATTTGTATAGCACCTTTCATGTCGGGAGGACGTCAGGGGGGGAAGGGGGGGGTGGGGAAGGGGGGTGGCCGATGGCATGCTTGAAGAGGAGGGTCTTGAGGTGGGACTTGAAGGAGGCTAAGGAGGGGGGCAAGGCAGAGTGACTGGGGGATGGAATTCCAGAGGTTGGGGGCAGAGTGGCTGAAGGCTCTCCCTTGTCACTGCACATTATATTATATGCTGTGAAGCGCTTTGAGACGTCTCAACGACGTGATGAGGCGCAATATCAAATGTAAGGATTATTATTATAAATCAATCACAATTGTAGTCCCTAATAATGTTTCTATGCACATCTCAATTGGTTTTCATTTATCATGCTGTTCTTACTGTCTGTGGTTTTATGAAAAAAGAGATTTCTCAAATGCATTTTTTCGGACGTTCAGAAATAAATAACAGCAACTTGGATTTATATAGCGCCCTCCACGCCGGACGGCGTCTCAGAGCACTTAAATGAGATGTGTGAATGTCTGTAGAGTTTTTCCTTTATTTTTCATGTGAATAACTAAGTATTCTTTGGAAATAATAGTACTGTGGCCACCAGTAAGTGTTAGTAGCCACACACCGAAGCCACCAAACATTTTGGTTTGAGAACCACTGTCCCTGAGAGTTGCTTTGGCTTTCAATAGCAACACAAGAGTTAGAATTGCAACCAATCGAGTCCTGCACCACATGAAAGGTGAAGGGTTCACATTGGTATCACACCTTAGCTAACCTCAGTAATTTGTTATAATCCGCTGGGTGTATGACACATGCGGAAACTCATCACCGTGCTTAAGAGTATCCAAACTGAGAATTCTGTACATCCACCTACACATGCAAATCCCAGAGAGAGGTTGTTGGAATGGAATGCGCTCTCTCTCCCTGGAGGGATGGATCCTGATTATCTAATTCCGGACAGTATTAGGCGCAGGTTGGCAAGAGTCAAGGCTTGGGGACCCCAGAGTTGGAGTAACTGCTGGAGTCTAACCAGCTAAAACCACATAGCTTGCCATTGATAGCACTGTCAGGCAAGCTTTCGCCCACAAATATGCGGTCAATTCATTCTGTGAAGCGCTTTGAGACGTCTGGAAGACGTGAAAAGCGCTATATCAAATGCAAAGATTATTATTATTATTTTCCATTCCAATGCATTACAGCCTTGGCTTGCAGGGTTAACAAGAGCTGAGTGGGAGGATTCCCTGCCCCCAGTGACTCATAAAACCTGGTAATAAATGGCCCAGGTACGTGGTTAGGGTCTGACTTTACAAAGCAGTGCAGATTTAGCACACAGCCGTTGTCTGATCAGAATGGATGTAACCAGCTGAGATGAGAGTCATTTCATACACTTCAAAGGCTTAATGGATGTATTGCTAAAAGTGACCTTTACTGAATCAGATTGATATTAGCGGCTCTCTCCTGACATTCAAATGTTTTCTCGCTTATAGCACCATCTCGGCGAATCCGGTAGTGCTACCCAATTACAGCTGCAACTGTCGACCTCACGTGGGAAAGTACAATACAAAATTACATTTGTAAATTGCCTTTCACGTAGGGAGGATGCCCCAAGGTGCTGAACAGTCAGGGATTAGGAACATCGTTAAACCTCACAGATCGAGTTAAATCCTATTGTGTCATCATCACCAAGAAGAACACAAATTAAACTGCCGATAATTTTCAGTTCATTCTAACAGTAGAAATTATCTCCTTTCAGATAGATGATTTGATTCCTCCTTTATTCCTTCCCCTCCGTTCCAGAATGCAACATATTATCATTTTAATCCCCACGTCAGCACTTGGGATCACATAGTCTAAGATGACACTCCAATGCAGCGCTGGGTGGGGGTTGCATTATCAGAGATGCCGTCCTCTGGATGAGATGTTAAGCCAAAGTCCTGTCTGCCTGGACAGGTGGATGTTAAAGATCCCATGGCGCTATTCAAACAAGAGAAGAGAGTTTCTCTCTCCTGGTGTCCTGGCCAACAATCCTCCAAATAAAATTAGTCACTTACTCGATGGCTGTTTGTGGGATGTTGCTGTGCACAATTGGCTGCCACGTTTTGCCCACAAAACACCCAGTCACTCCACTTTATAGTTTATCCTGTGAAGCGCTTTGAGATGTCTCAACGACATGATAAAGCGCTATACCAAATGCAAGGATTATTATTATTATTTTAGGATAGCCCTGCTCACCTCTCTGTTTGGCAGCAAAACAACTGAGGAGAGTGTGAGCTTTGAATCCCCTTTTGCACGTTCCTTTAGGGTATGGAACAAGCTGGCTGTGTGTCAGGTGAAGACACAGTTCCTCTGTGTCACCGATGTCCTTCACCGGGGGTTGGTCGAATATTTAAAACGTCCAGTTCCGCATTTCATTGTTGCAAGTTCTATGCTCGTTCGTCCCAAGCATAGGAGGACGAGCCTGACTCAGGGTCAGAGTTTACACAGCACAGAGCATGGTCTCTGGCACCTTGACACCAACTAGAATCATAGAATCTTACAGCACAGAAACAGGCCATTTAGCCCATCGTGTCTGTGCCAGCTCTCTGAAACAGCTGTCCAACTTGTCCCACTCGCCCACCCTTACCCCATAGCCCTGCAAATTTTTCCTTTTCAAGTATATATCCAATTCCCTTTTGAAAACTACTATCAGATTTGCTTCCACATCTCAGTTATTTCTGCTACAATGTTTTTCTGTGTTTTCCCCCCCCTCACTCACATACACACACACACAGTGAAACTCCCTCAGTCCCACATCTCGTATCGCAAGGAACTGTACGATTAATCTCTCCCGTGAGTTCCCACTCTGCAAACGCGTGACTTTCGCAAAAAAAAGTGCACTTTTTTTTGCACACGATTGTTGTAAAATGACGACTCTCCAAAAGACACTATCGCAGCAAACACACAAATCAAAGATGGGTTTTCCTTTCTAACATCTTTCATGACGTGCAGAAATACCCAAAGCTCTAACAACAACCGGACAAAAAGAGAGAGGGTAAACTCCACGGTTCGGGATTGCTTTGTACATCGCCTTCACCCCCTCAGATACATCATATCTTCTATTGATATTTAAGTCTTATCGTATTTCCTAGCCTCGAAAGACTGCACACTCGTCAAAAATAATATTAGTTGCCAGCAGGTTTCGGGCTATTTGGGAGTGTTGCTTGCTTTGTTTGGTTGCCATTAAAATTGAGGTCAAGTGAGGGGGTCAGGGGAGGGGGTGGATGTGCCCTCAAACTCAATCGCACCCACAAAAAGGTTGAAACCCAAAAATAATTCAAATCAGAGCAGTGCAACAGAGGGAAACCCAACAAAGTTTCTATTCATCACAAAGTATTCATGTTTTTTTTCCCTCCATTGAAAAGGGGAAAAAGTAAGGGTTGCTGAGGCTGATTTCACACACGTATAAATTCTTACAGCTGGCGTATGAGCGAGCGAGTGAGCGAGACTTACTTTGTCTGCCATGATCATAGAGGAGCCTCCGTGAATGCCCAGGATGGGGATGAAGGTGTGAGACGATATAAAATCCAATATCTGTGCGATGGCCTCCTGATCCGTGTCGTCAGCAAACACCACACCGTGGATCTTGGTGCCGGACATTAGGTCACACACGTGGGTGATGATGCTCTTGGGATCTGTGTGGTTGACCTCAATCATCACCACGTTGACATCGATGGGAAGTTCCTTGCTCCAGGTGTCTCTGATGTCCGCCAGGTAGGTGGTGCGGCCCAGAATCACCGCGATGTTCAGCGTCGGGTAATCCTTCTGCACCGCGCTCACGTCCAGCCGCAGGGCGAACACGTGGAAAAAGACCGCCGTCAGGAAGCCAAGGTGCCCCATCTTTCGTCCTTCCATCCCCTGCCGAGGCAAGGCCAAGAGAAGAAGAAGAATATTCAGCATTGTATTCGATTCAGCGCCTTATCACGTCATTGAGACGTCTCAAAGCGCTTCACGGGATGTGCTGTGAAGTGTAGTGACTGTGTATTTTGTGGGCGAAGATTCAGAAACTCAACACATTGCACCACATTGTCCCTCTCTCCCCCTCTCCCCCTCTCCCCCCCCCCATTGAGGGTCAGATAGCAACACTGTGTATGTGTGTGGGAAAGCTCACTCACCCCCCAGGCACCACCCCCCAGGACATCTGACCACACACACACACACACACACACTGACCCCACATCTGGTCAGTGTGCTTTTCACCCCCCAACACTCACACACAGTTACACACACAGTTACACACTCACACACGTTTTACATACGGTTAAAATAAAGAGCCAGAAGGCAGAGTCGGCTCACTGCCCCCCCCCACCTCTCAGTTTAACTCTATGCTGTTCGGGGTCCCCGTGTTTCTCGGCCCCAAACATGTATGAAACGTGGCGTTTAATCGCATTTCACGCCGCAGCACAGGGTAGAGATTGAGGGGAGAGCGCTGTCGGGAAATGTTCCGGTGTGTAGACAGAGACACACACAGTGTGTGAACGGAATGCGCACCGGGTCCGCAAGTCGCGGGTTGATCCGCACCGGTCGGTGAGGAGCGAATGCCTTCGCTACGGACGCGCAGCGCATTAACGCAGTTTTTCTGAGGTCAGCGAAACCTTCCAGTTACTGTGCCACCGCAGTGGAGGGTTTGGGGGTTACAACTTACATTCCACATTGATTCTTTAACATAAATACAGTGTATATATATATATATATATAATAGACAAATGGCTTTCACACATTTTATGATATGAACCATCTCATCCCTCGGTTCGGATCACACCCAACCGTTACCACAAGGGGCATTTTTTTCCCCACGGAATGGTCTATTGGGGGTGATCGATTGATTGATTGATTATTGGTTGATTGATTGATTGATTGATTTATTGATTGATTGACAATAAACATCGACCACATCCACCAAACCCGTTCCTCCTCAATAACCGCCCTCTCTCCCTTGTCTTTTTTTCTGAATCTCAGGCTCTGTGCACAGACGCACAAAACGACGGGATGAATTGATGGAGTGACTGCGGGATGTGGACATGAAGTTGACGGGGACTCGGGTCCATCCAGGCGTGAAATGACGGTGCAGCAGCGCCCCCTACCGCCCCCCCCCCCCCCCCCCGCACACACAGCGCCAGGCAATTGGTGCTGATGAGAGAGAGAGAGAGGATGGAGAGAGAGAGAGAGAGAGAGGGAGAGCGCTCAGTTAAAGCAGCTAATGTGCACGTTATGTTGATGTGACATACCTTGAATGTCACGAAACTCGTGTCCTGGTTGGCATTGTCGGGAAGCTGTGCCTGACTTGGCTTTGAGCCCCATAAGGGGAAGGCAGACGAGTGCTGCATCTCCCAACACAAAGCCTCTCCTAACTTCCACTCCTGAGCTTCTTTCTATTCAACAGCGACTCTTGGACCAGGAACTAACGGAGTATGAAAGTATGTAAACTTGGTCTACATTTGGGGGGACCCAGGCAGCCCCATTAAATATATATGTATATTGTTCTAAATAATAAAAAAAATTAAACCGGATTCATTTTTTTTTTGCGCTGTTTTTTTAGACTTCCCAATAATCCAATTTGGAGGGCATGTAATTCTGGAGCGGTCCTTTTATGCATTAAAAGAGAAGAAGAGATGGGGAGAGAGGGATAGAGAGGAGAGAGAGAGAGAGAGAGAGGAGGCAGGGACGCGAGAAGCTGATTGTAGCGTAAGGACAGATGGATCTGAAATAACACGACGTGGCTCACAATGCTCTATGCGAACAAAAAAACCTGCAACGTTACACGATTCCATGTGGATTCCTTTCCTGTGTCTCCAATTAATGGGTTTACGGGGAGCAAAGTATAACGAGTGAAATAACACACACACGTATGCACACCTACACACCACACACGTATGGACACCAACACACACATACATACACACACACACAGACATATATATACACGAATGCAAACACACACACCGATGTGAAATATACTCACAGCCTCATTCCCCCACATTGCTGCAGTGCTTAACCTCAACACTCAGGCTGCGGGATGGTGATGGTGGTGGTGGTGGTGGTGATATTTGCCCATTTGCCACCGTTGTGAAGGGATGATTGCCTGTGGTCGGTCTTCTCGTTAGCGAATCCATGTAACAATCTCCACAAAGCCACCAGCCAACCTCGGGCTTTCACTGTAGGAGGCGGAACGCGTGTATGATTCCCATTTGTAGCGACCAGGAAGGAGAGACCGACCCTCCGAGCTCTGGGTACCGAATCTTCAATGATAAATATAAAACCCAATCGCACAACAGCAGATTCACAGACACACGATCTGCCTCAATCCCTGCAATACTGGACTCGAAGGTTTCCAAGTTCTCTCTCTCTCTCTCTCTCTGTGGCTCTGTGGTGGAGGAATCAGTCAGCAACACATCCTGATGGAGACAATGTGAATTACAACGGCTTCTGTTAGCAAGAGACAGGGAGTGTGTGTGTGTGTGATCACAGAGACCTCCCTCCCCACCCACCAAAAAAAATCAGTTTGTGCTTATTTTAAGCCAATCTCTCTCTCTATATATATCTATCTTTCTGTGCTGAGTAGTGGCCACCGAGAGAGATAGAGAGAGAGAGAGACAGAGTTTACAGCGCAAAATAAACCTTACATTGTCTTACAATGAATTCAGTGTCTCACAATCCCACGCGAAGAGAGAGGAGAGGGAGGTTTGGATCAAGTTCATTTCGCTCAAGACTGCGGGTCTCTCCTGGATTCCGCTCAACTGCGGATCTCTCTCTCTCTCTCTCACTCTCACACAGGTACCCAGGCAGCCAACCCCCTCCCCTCCCCTCCCCTGCCCTGCCCTCCCCCGGGGGGCGCGGGGGAGCAGGAGATTGGGCATCTGTTACTATCAAAGACAAGGGTTGGGGGGAGCAATCCCGACAGTTTGTCAATCACTCCGGGTTTAGTCGTCATTTCGATGCCACTTGATAATCGCACTCCAACAAGAGAGCAAAGTTTGAGCGTTTATTACCACGAGATCCGCAAAACAGCCCCTCACTCACTCACTCACTCTCACTCACTCACTCTCACTCACTCACTCACTCATTCAATCTCTCACTCGCTCTTTCATACTCTGTCATTCACTCCCTCACTCACTCCCTCACTCTTTCATTCATTCATTTTCACTTCAACATCCGCCCTTCTCTCTGTCTGTCTCTCTCTGTGTTTCACTCTCTGTGTCTGTCTCCCTCTCTTTCTCTCTATGTCACTCTCTCTGTATCTCTGTGTCTGTCTGTCTCTCTCTGTCTGTTTCACTCTCTGTGTCTGTCTCCCTCTCTCTGTCTCTCCCTCTCCCTCTGTATCTGTGTGTCTGTCTCAGTGTGTGTGTCTCTCTCTGTGTCTAAGTTTGTCTCTCTGTGTCTGTCTCTCTCTCTGTCTGTCTCTCTGTGTCTCTGTCTCTCTGTCTCTCTCTCTCTGTGTCTCTGTGTCTCTCTCTCTGTGTCTCTGTCTCTCTCTCTCTCTCTGTGTCTATGTCTCTCTCTCTGTGTCTCTCTCTCTCTCTCTCTCTGTGTGTCTTTGTCTCTCTCTGTCTCTCTCTCTCTGTGTGTCTCTGTGTTTCTGTCTCTCTGTCTCTCTCTCTGTGTCTCTGTCTCTCTGTCTCTGTTTCTCTGTGTGTCTCTCTCTCTGTGTCTCTGCCTCTCTCTCTCTCTCTCTCTCTGTCTCTGTCTCTCTGTCTCTCTGTCTCTGTCTCTCTGTGTCTCTGCCTCTCTCTCTCTCTGTGTGTCTCTGCCTCTCTCTCTCTCTCTCTCTGTGTCTCTGTCTCTCTGTCTCTCTGTGTCTCTGCCTCTCTCTCTCTCTCTGTGTCTCTGCCTCTCTCTCTCTCTCTCTGTGTCTCTGTCTCTCTCTGTCTCTGTTTCTCTGTGTGTCTCTCTCTCTGTGTCTCTGCCTCTCTATCTCTGTCTGTGTCTCTGTCTCTGTGTCTCTGTCTCTCTGTGTCTCTGTGTCTCTGTGTCTCTGCCTATCTCTCTCTCTCTCTCTCTCTCTCTCTCTGTCTGTGTCTCTCTGTGTCTCTGTGTCTCTGTCTCTCTGTGTCTCTGCCTATCTCAGCGCTAAGATCTTGTCCATTTCACACCTCGGATCGAGCGACTACGCGGTGAGCCCTCGGATTCAATGGCTTTATTCTTTTTGTTTTCAGATGATCAATTTTTATAACGAATCGAAAAAAATGCAGATTTTCCTTCATTTTAACCTTTTCCCAAAATAAGCAGCATTTTATTTGGGGGGGGGGAGAAGGGGTAGAAAGATGATTTTTTTTGAGTGGAGAGAGGGTAATAATCTCTCGTGATAATAATCAGTGTCCCCCCCCCCACACCCAACCCCCCCCTCCCCCCCCCCCCCCTCCCCCCCCCCACACACACATCAAAGGCTGCGTCTAGAAAACACACGTTCTCTTGATCCAACACATTGCAACTCTCCCCACATCACTCTCAGGGATCTCTCGGAATCCTAAACCAAAGAGACACACACACACATATACATATATATATATATACACTCACACACACTGTGGTGTCTTTTTTTAGGCAGCGACTGACGGATTTTTAAGACTATTTATTGCAACTCGACTTTATCCATTGGTTCAGTCCCCCCCACTGCCCCCTCCTATTGCGTCGCTTTAATGCTTAATATCTGGTGGTGAGGTTAGCTGTGGGGGGGGGGGGGGGGGAGAGGAGATTTAATCATTGATTTTTCTACCCTGATTGTAACGAACCGACCAACGCATTATTGGCAGCTCTGCGTACGAAAGCAATACCATTTTATCACATTGCTCGTGTTATTGGTGGATTTGTCTCTGACAGTCTTTTTTTTTGATTGCGTAATC